GCGAGAGTGCGCTGTGCGCAGGCGCACCCCGGGCTCGCCCCGCCCCATTCCCGGGCCTCGGGCTTCCTCCGCCGCTTGAATTACGCCTGCGCAGAGGCTTTCCAGTCCGTCTCCTAGGACGCCAGACAGACTGCGCCTGCGCAATGCGGCCATTCCGCAGCGCTACAATTCTGGCTCATTTGAGGGCGGGGACGACTGGCTGTCACTAGTTGGGAAAAGGAGGCGTTTCTAACACAAGCCCCATCTTCTGGCTCTTGCAATACTCCAATATTTAAAAAAACACTAGCAGCCCTGCCGGTTTGGCTCAGTGTTTGGAGCGTCGGCCTGCAGACCGAAGGGTCGTGGGTTCAATTCCCGGTGAAGGGTATGTACCTCGGTTGCAATTCCCGGCTCCCTGTTCCTCTCTCTCTCTCTCTCTCTCTCTCTCAATCAATGGGAGGAATATCCTCTAGTGAGGATTTTTTTAAAAAACATGAAAAGAAAAACCCCAATAGCAATTGTACATTGTGCCCCCATCTGAAGGGCTAAAGACTTTAGATACATTACTGCGCTTGATTGATGACTTGTTTATGATCTCTCACCATTAGAAGGTGAGGTCGTGAGGTGTTTTGTCGACATTCTCACTAGTATCTCCAAAACTTAGAATGGGACCTAGAATAGGACCTGGCACAGGGTAGGTTTTCAATATATTTTTATTAACGAACCAATGATCCATCTATCATCTTCCTTATTTGAACCTCTCCCCTGAACACCACTCCCCTTGGATGTGTAATAGGCATTTCAAATTTATTGTGTCCAAAATTGAAAGGTTGATTTCCATCCCTCCCCCAGTATCCATCCCTACCACTCCTACCTGCCCCCCACCAAACGTCAGAGAACTTACCTCATCACAAATGTAACCAGAATTCTGACAATTGTTTGGGTCAAAACCAGTCTCTTTCTCTCATGCCCAATATCCAGAGCTTGTTGTCTGTATCTTCAAAGATAGAACCAGAATCTGACCATTTTTCACCACTAGCACCATTGCTCATCTATATTACTACAACAGCTCAGAAACTGCTTTCCTTGCATGCATTCTTATCCCCTCTTAGTCTGTTTTCAACACAGGAGCCAGAGTGGTAATGTTAAAACATGAATCAGATAGTGTCTTTTCTCTGTTCAAAACCTGTCAACGACTTTCCATCTCACAGTGTAAATGTTACAAACCTTCTTCCCATGTCCTACAATCTTCCCCTTGCTCAGTGTCTGCACCAGTCCCACCTGGCCTCCTTGATTCATGTCATCACAGGCATGCTTCTACCTTAGAATACAAGGGCTTTTGCACTTGCAGTAGGAACTAATAAAAATAGCTATAAAGCATTTTATTTCGTGCCAGTGTACTGTACTAATTACTTTACTTTCTTTTTTTTAATATATTTTATTGATTTTTTTACAGAGAGGAAGGGAGAGAGATAGAGAGTCAGAAACATCCATGAGAGAGAAACATCCATCAGCTGCCTCCTGCACATCCCCCACTGGGGATGTGCCCACAGCCCAGGTACATGCCCTTGACCGGAATCGAACCTGGGACCCCTCAGTCCGCAGGCTGACGCTCTATCCACTGAGCCAAACCGGTTTCGGCTACTTTACTTTCTTTTAAAAAATTAATTTAATTCACATAATAACCTTTTGAACTAGGTATACTGGTTATTTTAAAAGAAAATGGGAATAACTATTTTACAGATAAAGAAACTGAGGCACGGCGCCAAGTAAGTAATTTGTCCAAGGTTGTACATATGGGCAGTGACAAAGCTCAGATCCAAACTGAGGCCCTGAAAAGCTCTCCCCCTAGATATCTGCCTGACCCCGTCACTTCCTTCAGAATATCTGCTCACACATCACCTCAGTGAGCCCTACTACCATCTATTTTAAAATTCCAACCTTCAACTCCAGTCTTTTTTTTTAAATATATATTTTATTGATTTTTTACAGAGAGGAAGGGATAGAGATAGAGAGTTAGAAACATTGATGAGAGAGAAACATCGATCAGCCGCCTCCTGCACACTCCCCACTGG